CCCTAGAGAACTCCTTGCTATATATACTTGAATAAAAATCCCAGCTCCCAAGAGGGTAGACGTTAAAAAAAAAAAAAGCAATACCCATAAAATAGACTTTTTATATAAATAGACATTAAATAATATAATAGATATTTTAAGAATTACCAAAATCAACATTTCAAATAAAGAAAGAATAAGGATAACTAAAAAAACAAACAAATTATAGAAGTTTCTGGTCAAGTTCAAATAAAGACAAAAAGAAAGGTTCAGAAGTCAGTTTAATGATAAATAAGTAATAGAAAAATATATAGAGCAAATAGATAAAATTAACAAATATTTAATCTCAGTAAGCTTAGTATTCAAGCAACTTGAGATTATAGTAATATTTCTCCAAATAATAAATATAAAAAGAAGGTTGTATACAAAAACAATCATCAAGAAGTATATCAACTACACTTTTAGATCACAGATAATAGTAATAGAAGATTTTAACAATATAACTGATACAGAGCTTGATAGAATACCAAGTGTAAAATATATCAAATAAGATCTGATTTTAAGCTGGCTACAAAAACAAAAATTTGTCAATACTTTAGAGTAATCTATCCAAGAGCTAGAAAGTTCATATAGTCTAATAGAGATACAAGTACAAGAATAGATCAAATATAGATGTTTGATAAACTTTTATGTAGCTTATTTGATGCAAAAATACAAAAAATAGATGTATATACAAATAGTGATCACAGTTTAATAATAGCCAGAATCGATCTCAAGTATCTTAATGCTTTAAAAAGTGCTGTAGCATGCAAAAGAAATAAACAAATATGAACAGTTTTTCTTTATAACAAAGTATCCAAAAAAAACTAGAAAGATTACAGAAAACAAATAAATAGTTTGCTCCAAAAGAGTATATATATACCACAATTGTTAAAAAAAACCCAGCAACAAAAAGAGATATCTTTAGAACCAGATGATTTTTAGGATAATATAAGTAAAGCAATATTTGTAACAGCAAGATGCAATTTGCTAAAAAAGAAGATTTGTAATACAATACAAAATAAGAAAAAAAGTGCTAAAGAGTCCAAACTATCATATTTTCTAATGCAATTAGATAGGTGGATAAATATAGGGAGAAAAAATATTAAGTTAGAATTTCTGTCTAAAAACATCTTGGATCTTATTACAGAAATAGAGTTTATAAACCAGCAACACAGAATAAACATTAACAAGACTATATTTATTTGGTTATACAATCTTATTAATGACCTTAAAGACTAGTAGAAAATATTCTTTGCAAGAAGAGCAAATGAGACCAACCAACAAAAAAGAACTAAAATAGAAGAAAATATTGAAAAAGATATTAGATAATTGATAGAAAGCAAGGCAGAATGATTACAAGTCTGTTAAAAAAACTTTTTAGAAAAATTCAAATTGACAGACTGTTTTTAAACAAAGAGCTTCAAAGAAAACTCTGAGAAGGTTTTTAAAAAAACAAGAAAGTACTTCTAGAATCAATTCAGATCCTGATATTTTAATCTGATATTAAGGTGACCTCTCTGTTACATTCCTTTTATTTAATTATAGTTATAATTTTTACAGTATAATTTTTATACCATATATATATTTGAAGAGTACAACCTTTAAAAAGGAGATACTTTTGATGACTGATCGTCCATTGATATATTTATGAAGCTGTATTATTTGAAATGAGGTTTCGGTTATCAGGTTTTTCAAAATAATAAGGATCCAAATGACTCTAATATAACCCACCGCAAGTCCTTTCGTTGCTCATTAAGTGGTATATACAGTAGCTGAAAGAATATTGATCAAAATTTATACCACTTACGTGATAGTACCAAGATAAATTGTGGGTGGCATTGTAATTTTAATTTTCCAAAGACCGTAGAACAAATATCTTGCACAACCTTGGTTGATGTTCATGATCATAAATTACAATCTGGACAATTAGCTCACCTTAATGCCAGGTACCGAAAACTCAGTAATGAAATGATGGAGGATTTGAGATTTCTCACAGAATGTAAGGTAGCGCCCATTACACAGTTTGAGATTCTAAAAAAAAAATATCCACAGCATATTTTTTCACAAACAAGACATCTATAATGCAATTTATCGCTTGTGTAAACGGTATAAAAATAAGAAACCTGATTCTAGTTTATTTCTAGAAGCACTCTTTGAAAAAATGGCTCTCAATCCAGATTGGAAAGTATATGTCAGACATTTGGGTAGTGAGCATCGTTTAGCAGGTGTCTTTTGGATGTCTCCTGATTAACAGGATTTGTATCAGCGATTCCATGATGTAGTATTAAATGACAATACATGTAAGACTAACAAATATAATATGTATTTAAGCATCTTTATGATAAGGGACAATTATGAAAAATTTTAAAATATAGCAAACGCGTTAGTTGAGGATGAAATGGCATCTATATATGTCTGGATTTTACGATATTTAATGAAAGCGACCGGTGATATCACCCCAATATTATTTTGGACTAACTCTGAACCAGATCTAATTAATGCTGCTTCACATATTTTTCCAGCAACACAATACTTTTACTGCCTATTTCATATTTGGCAGAACATTGTCAAACATCTTAAAACAAAATTGAATGTAAATTTTAATGCTTTTAGCAAAGCTTTTTATTCATATAGGAATGTATTGAGTACTGAACTATTTGAGCAATGTTGGAAGTCTATGATAGAAACATTTCCAGAATGTCATAATTATATGACAAGAACACTATATGCTAATTATTTTAGTTAGGCTAAATCCTATATACCATTTTAATTTAACGCCAGAATCCAGAATACTCAAAGCGTGGAATCGTTTAATAGTATAATTAAGAAATCATTAAATAGTATCAGTATGTTGTGTGATGTTGAAAAAATAATTGAAAAAAGATTAGATAATGAATTACAGTATAACAAATTGGTTGATCTCAAAGCTCCTTATATACTGATTAGGCTTCCACATCTTTCTTTACAATTTTTTACCAACATTAATGCAATTCTTGTTCAATTTCTAACTTTTCTTATTTTGTCGTGGCAACAATTTCAAATTTCTCAATCACTTACATATGAAGGTTGCTTGGTACCATTTTCTGTCGAGGTAGGTATAGTTCAGTTTTATCTAGTTAGTAAATAAGAGTTAGTTTTGGTTTACTAATTTTTTTTTTTCTTAGATCTTAGAAATTGATACAGTTAATGATGTCTTTATTGAAGATATTAGTGATGAACCACAAATAATATTAAAATCTCTTTTAAATAGAGTTGAAGTTTCAAGTATAATCGAATTATGGAGAATACGACGTATAGGTAGACTTTCATATCGAGAAAACATAGTAATACTATTAAGCAACGGAACCCATCTTTGTACTTGCATGGAAACAGTTACGAAAGAGATAATCTGTCGGCATTTCTGGTATATTACACTCTACTCAAGCAATGCGAAATTCTATATTAGTATTATACCAGCTAGGTGGTATAAAAATAATATTGTGAATCAATTATATACTTATCTCAAAAATTCACTTGTTCTAACTGCTATAAAGCCATGTACTGAAACTTTGTCATTACCCTCCGAAGCAAATTTTACTTTTCAAAGCCTGCGACAATTTCAGAAGTTGGAGCATAATGATATTATTTGCCATGCTACTCCCCTAAGAAATCAGTTTGGGATTGCATTCTCTGTTTCTAAAACCGCAATTAATATTGCCTTAGAAACTAAGAGTGATGAAAAATTAATACAAATGTTAAAGAATTTTATTACAGTAAAACGGCAAGCTTGTAAAGTTTCAACAAGGCATGATTCTAATAATTCATGTGACAATAACACAAAAAATGAATCGGACGAAGTAGTTTCTTTATAACAGCAATTAATTAGTTAAATAACAGAACCTAAGGTTGTTAAAATACGTGGTGCTCTATCTAAAAAGAGAATGAAAAGCTTTGCAGAAGTATTAAATAAAAGGGCTAATATTCAAGAAAGTAACTATTGTAAAACAAGTTCGCGAATACAACATAAATGTTTATTATGTAGAGTACTAGGACATTATCAAAAAAAAATGTTCAGGTTATAAGAGCAAAAATAAGAAAAATGTAGATATACAAAAATAATGCATTGTACTAATCAAATTATTTATATTGTACAAACACATGATATATAATTAGCAAATTTGTGCCTTCAAATTTATTGTTTATTAAGTTTTTGCTAAGTTTGAACCGATTCACAAGTTCTTTTTTAAGATTAGGGTAAAAGTAAAGTGATTCAAAACCTTTTTTTTTATTTTTTCTTCTTTTTAATTTTTTCTATTTCTTTCTTTTTGACTTTTCTCTTGGTTTAATCTTAGTTTACGACAAACTTCTCTGCTAATTCTTGTGTCTGTTTTATGCTAAGACTTGAGCCATCTGATTTTGGTTTTTTTTCCTTTTTAGCTTTGTGTTAATTTCTTCTTTCTTTTTCTATTTGTTAACCACTATATATTTTTGCTTCTATATATTTTCATAAAAAAAATTCTATATCAGGTTTATAGCAGTTTTCAAATAGTTCTTTGTATTTTTTAAAAATTTTATAGTATCGAAGATTGTTCTAAAAGTTTTTTCTTGAACTAAATCTTTAAAGATATCAATTCTTGTTCTGTTTTTTTTCTTTTTTGTTGGTCTTCGGAACAAGGTTTTAAAATTTACTTTGTTAAACTAATTTCTTGCTTTTTTTGAGAAGGCTGCACAGGTTAGATTTGATATAATTTGTTCTACTTTCTTCTATTTTTTCTCATATTTCACATATTTTGTTAAATGATCTTGATCTTTTTCTTCATTTTTTCTACAAATTATACAAGAAAAATTTTTGTACAAGTCTGGTTTTCTGTTAGCTAAAGCCTTAGGGGACTGACAATTATTAGCTAATTATACCCCTTTTGGAATTTTAATTTGATCCCAAAGGTTAGTTATTTGACAAATATAAATTTTATATGTAACAAAATCAAATTTGGCATATAACAAATTCGAATTTATTATAAGGTAGATATGCCTAATTTGGCGCAGTGCCTAATTCGGCGCACCAA